CATGCCCAACCTGCTGGGGCACGAGAGCCAGCGGGAGGCCGCCCTGAAACTGCACGAGTTCGCCCCGCTGGTGGAGTACGGCTGCCACGTTCACCTGCGCTTCTTCCTCTGCTCCCTCTACGCACCCATGTGCACCGATCAGGTGAGCGCCAGCATCCCTGCCTGCCGCCCCATGTGTGAGCAGGCCCGCCACAAGTGTGTCCCCATCATGGAACAGTTCAATTTCGGCTGGCCTGAGTCACTTGACTGTGGCAGGTTGCCCACCAAGAATGACCCCAATGCCCTCTGCATGGAGGCCCCTGAAAATGCCTCAGCTGCTGAGCCGCACAAGGGACAGGGGATGCTGCCTGTGGCCCCCCGGCCCTGGCCACCTGGTACCGCTACTGAGGGACGGGGACCCAATGGGCTGGGAGCTTGCGACAATCCTGAGAAGTTCCAGTACGTGGAGAAGAGCCTCTCGTGTGCACCCAGGTGCTCCCCCGGGGTGGACGTGTACTGGTCCCGGGAGGACAAGGACTTCGCCTTCATTTGGATGGCTGTCTGGTCCACCCTCTGCTTTGTCTCCACTGCCTTCACCGTCCTTACTTTTCTGCTTGACCCCCACCGCTTCCAGTATCCTGAGAGGCCCATCATTTTCCTCTCCATGTGCTACAACGTCTACTCTGTGGCCTTCATCATCCGCTCTGTGGCTGGAGCTGAGAACATTGCCTGTGACCGGGAGAACGGTGAGCTCTACATCATACAGGAGGGGCTGGAGAGCACAGGCTGCACCATTGTCTTCCTCATCCTCTACTATTTCGGCATGGCTAGCTCTCTCTGGTGGGTTGTGCTCACTCTCACCTGGTTCCTGGCTGCTGGGAAGAAGTGGGGACATGAGGCCATCGAGGCCCACAGCAGCTACTTCCACATGGCCGCCTGGGGCATCCCAGCCATGAAGACCATTGTCATCCTCACCATGCGGAAGGTGGCAGGGGATGAGCTCACGGGGCTGTGCTATGTGGGGAGCATGGACGTCAGTGCCCTGACTGGCTTTGTCCTCATCCCCCTCTCCTGCTACCTGGTCATTGGCACCTCCTTCATCCTCACTGGCTTCGTTGCCTTATTCCACATCCGGAAGATCATGAAGACGGGTGGAACCAACACAGAGAAGCTGGAGAAGCTGATGGTGAAGATTGGGGTCTTCTCCATCCTCTACACTGTCCCGGCCACCTGTGTCATTGTCTGCTACTTCTACGAGCGCCTGAATGTGGATTACTGGATGCTGCGGGCACTGGAGCATGGCTGCCTACGCCTGCCTGGCCGCCGTGCCACCGACTGCTCCCTTGAGGCCTCGGTGCCCACTGTGGCTGTCTTCATGCTAAAGATTTTCATGTCACTGGTGGTGGGCATCACCAGCGGGGTGTGGGTGTGGAGCTCTAAAACGCTGCAGACCTGGCAGAGCCTGTGCAACAGGCGGCTGGGCATGAGGACGCGGAGCAAGCCCTGCAGTGGGGTCAGCTGTGGTGGGGGACACTGCCACTACAAAGCCCCTACAGTCATGCTGCACATGACCAAGACAGACCCGTACCTGGACAACCCGACTCACGTCTAGAGACCGGGGCTGCCCCCCACACTGGAAGAAGTGGCCTCACGGGTAAGGGGCAAGGGCAAGGGCTGAGTGCAGCAGGAGGGACACTCCCAGGTTTAGGGGGGCAAGGTTGCAGGATCCCCCAGCACCACTCACTGACAAGTAGCCGCTTTTTCCTAGAGGATGTTTTGTTGTCGCTGTTGCCAAATCCAGTGACTCCTTATAACGCTTTCTTTGGGGGATGGTGGGGAAGGGACAGGGAGAGGAATAATCCATCCATGTTTATTTAATTCTGTAATTTATTTTAAATTTTTTTTGATCATTAGCTGCAAGGAATGGAAAAAACAATAAACCCTGGATGTGTTATTTGATCCAAGCTTGGTGCTGTTTGCAGGGATTCCAGGGGATCAAGAGCTCCCCCATGGGACCCTACCCCAGTCTGGGGTCTTTCATGTCGGGCCAGGCCATGCCACCACAGGGGTGCCTCTGTTGCTGGCAAGAGTGTGGTACCAGCAGGTACCACCATACAGTTCCCCTCCGTGGCTTCCCTGGGGCCGGTTCTGCCCCCTGGCAAGGAGGAGAAGGAAGAGGAGGAGGGTTTTCCTATGCTATGACACGAATCATCTTTTCCACTCAGTGCTCTGAAGGTGATTAGTGTCAGTGCCATTGGCTGCCAGAGCCTCAGTGCCAGGCTGAGGAGCTTTGAGGGGGCAGGCCGGGAGCCAGGGAGATGGGCTGGGGACACAGGAACTTGGGGCAGAGAGGGCTCAGCTTTGATGTCTCCACACAGAAGCCTGAGGTGCGGGTAATGGAAACTTCTGGGCAGCTTTATTTATCTCCCGCTCTGGTTACAATCCCAGCTCGCCTTCCCCATTGTCCGCAGGGAAATTCAAGCTTCAGCTGGTGCTGGTGAAGCTGGCAGGAGGAGCCAGGGCTGTTGGGCACAGGGTGGGCAGGAGTGTGCCTCTGCAGGGGCTCAGAGTGAGGGAAGTGCCTACCCCCCTGAGACATTCTGAAGGGCTGGCAGGGGTCAGCTTTGTCTCTCTAGGGGTTTGATGGGGCTGTTTTGCCTGGCTGTCCCCAGGGATGTGTCAGGGGTTCCCAGTGCTAGGGAAGAGAAGTGGGCAGGGGGCTGTGGCAGGGGCATAGGCAGCACAGTGCCTGTGGCAAGCAGGATCTGTAGGGGCAACACAGCTCTAGTGATGCTTAGATTTGTCCATCATCTAATTAGCCAGCCTGCAGGCTGGGCAGATCTGGACTCCAGGGAGGGTCAACTCTTGTCCAGGGAGCAACAATCCAGCAATGGACCCTCTCTCCAGCACTCAACCTGGCACCCACTGCTCACCCCAACAGCCCTTGGTCCCCATTTGTTGAAGCCTTCCCAGTTCAGACTATCAAACTGTGGCTGGAGGACTGGGGCAAGACTCCCCACTACGGCTGGTGTGGGGGGCAAGGGCTGGGGTTGGGATCCCTCGCTCACCATCGAGTTGTGCCAGGGCTTTGTGCTCCTGTGATGCTGGGATTGCTGAAGAGCCTTTAATCTGTTCCCTGCCACCCCTGGGATGCCAGGAAGGCAGGGGAAGTTGGGGCACAGAGCTGAGAAAAGCTTTTTCCTCCCCCAGGAGCTGGTGTGGTGGACAAGGTGTGAAGGAGCCCCCAGTGCCCATGTGGTGTCGCTGGGGGGACACTGAGGGTCTCTCAACAGATTTGGGTACCCCTGGCTGTGATGGTGGGCATCCAGCCCCTTCCCCAGGCTGGTGGTGATGATGGTACTAGGGCAAGGACCCTACCTGGCCCCAGCACTGGTGGGCTGCAGCCTCTGGAGCTCCCTTGGTTGCCACAGGAAAGTTTGTTTTGGGCAAAGGGCCATGACCTGGGGCAGGAGAGTCAATATTGGCTGTGGGACAGGCTCCAAAGTCCAGCTGGGGAGCTGGGCATGGCTCTAGGCAGGGGCTGCCTGGGAAGGGGACACAGAGCCATGTGTTCTCCCTGTGTTCTGCCCTGGGTGCTAAGCCCAGAGCCAGTTGGGTTCACCTTGTGCGCCAGGCATGCAGCCCAGTGCTGGTGCCCGGCTGGCGGCACCCCTGGGGACAGGCTGCCCTTGAGCACCTGGCGCTTGCCAAGGAGCGGCTGCCTCTGGAGTGCTCACCCAGATAAGCCGTCTCAATGGGTTCTTGCTATCGGGCCCCAGAGGGGCCGCCGGCACCCACCACTACCTGCTATCAGCCCCAGCAGCCCAGCTGGCTCCACTGGAAGTTGCCAGTCTCAAGAGCTGAGCATGGCCAGGACACAGCTCCACAGAGCCTGTTGCAAAGCGGAGCTGTCACATGGAAGGACTGGCCCAGGGACACTGCTGGCTCCTAGTCACAGCCTCTTTCAACCCTGTGCTCTGGGGCTCAGGCTCTCTGTACACCCCCACCCAAACTCATCCCTGCATCCCATCTCCACCCTCCTCAGACCAGCCCCAAGGACACCAAACATCTGCTCCAATAAACCCCCAACAAGCAACAAGTAGGGGTCAGCAGTGCCTAGGCCCCACAGGGCACTGCCTGGCCTAGGATGGCTGTGGAGGGCGAGGTAGGGATGCCAGCTGGGTGAGAACAGGGCCAGGACATCCTGATGTCCCTGAGGTCTGGTCCAGCTCAGCATGGAGAAGTGGAGTCTTATCACTCCTGGCATAGCTGAGCTATGGAGTTTATCCAACCTCACATGGATGGACACTCCCTCCAAGTTTGAGTAGCAAAAGAAAAGCCACTGTTCTCTGGGAATTTGCTAAAACCCCCATTACCCAGAATATTAATTAATGATTGAGAATTAAGCCATGAGAAAACCCATGGGGCCAAACCCATTTTCCCAAGGCCACATTGGAACTCCAGCAATCATAGGAGCCCCCGGGGGTTTGTTGCAGGCAGCAGGTGCAGCAGGGCTGATGATGGTGATAGCAGGGCTCCGGCTGCCTGCCAAGCCCCCACATTGCCCTGCCAGGTGTGAGGACAGCTATTTATAGCCCTGCACAGGACACTGATGCCATGGAGGGGCTGCTATAAAAAACAAGTCTCCAGAAAGGTCTTGGAGCAGATGCTGCTGCAAGATCTCCACACTGAGGCCTGGAAATATCCCAGCTGGAGTCACTCAGATTCACCCAGGTCCTGTTGCATGGCCAGCAAGCCAAACCATCCCCCGTGGAGAGAGGAGGGTTTTCCAGGGAAAACAGCATCAGCCCATTGCTGAGAGCCTTCAAGCCCTCAAATCCATCAGGATTTCCCTGCCCAGCATTATGGGGCCTGGCTGGAACACTCCCAGCACAGATCTGGAGTGAGGAGCAGGATGAAGACACCCAGGAACCCTCGTCCCAGCAGAAATAAGCAAAGCTTCAGCCAAACCCTTTGTCACAGCTGTGGTCATGAGCATTGGCATGTCACTGCTCTAGCTGCCCTTGGAGCTCCAAGTGTCCCTGCTGGGCTGCTGGAAATCAGGATGGGGGCCTGGGACACAGCAGCAATAATTCTTAGTGCAAGCATGGCTCAGGTTGCATAACACACTCCAACACAAGGGAAGAGGCTTTGGGGGTAGCCAGGCCACGCTAGTGCAAAAGAGCAGAGACATCCCAGCTCCCCATCACCTGGAGGAAGTCCCTCCAGGGGTGCCCAGTGCCACCCCGAACGGAACAGGAGGACAAGTGTCACACTAGCACCCTGCAGGGGACAAGGAACAAGGACTGCTCCCTACTCCAGGGGCAGGCAGAGCATAGCTCGGTTCCTTGTCCTCGGGGAGGGTGACAATACACCAGCACCATCCCGGAAGCTGATCTGATCCTGACTCACCATTCCTTTATGCCACAGCTCCATTTGTGCTCCAGAGATGTCTGGTGGTAGCTCTAGGAAGGCAGACGAGAGCCATATCAGACAATCCCACATCAACACAGGGACCAACAAAGAACTCACACAAGCCATGTTTACAAACACAAGTACATAATGTTTATTCTTAAGTTTCCAATTTATTACAAGTACAGCCCTTTGCAGAAACCCCCTCCCCCCAAATGACACTGATTTTTAAGAAAACGTGCAGTTCCAAAGGTTCTACTATGTAGGACCTGCAGGAAATGATCTCTAGGAAACAGGACAAAACAGCCTCTGAAGGGATGTGCGAGATACAAATGTCAGTGCTATTCTGTGGGGCAGGGAAGTGAGGCTGAGGAGAGGGAAGGGCCTGGAAACTTGCCTCATCTGCAGTCATTGACAGTCCAGAACTTAAAACAAGTACCTGTTATAAAAAAACCCCAAACCTAAAACATTTGCAAAACTAGGCTGAAATTTGTAACTGATTATTCTTTTCTTCTCAAATCCCAGGAGCTACAACAGCTGCTTCTGCTCTTCTGTTGCAAAACCAGCACCAAACAGCCCCATGGCCCATTTATTCCACATCAAACCATTCTGGGATAAGAAGTTCAAGCCCTGATTGTATGATCCAAACCTGTCATGATGGAGGGGAAGAGAGAATGAGAAAACAAACCCTTTTCTTAAGGAAAAGTCAGCATCTGGGGCAGCAGGAGCTGGAGCTGGGCCATGGCACAGGAACAAAGGTGTTACTATGAAATGTTGTGAGTGTGGCTGAGAGAGACTAGGATCTCTCTCTCCCCCCGCAAAGTCCCCTGATGTAACTCCTGCTACTGGTAGGAAAATGAGTTTTAAAGAAGGGGGAAATATAAAGCAAACACGATTTTATATAAACTGTACATGTGCCAAAGCAAGACAAGGGTATCTTACAGGTGTTCTTTGTACAAGATCACAGCTAGAAACAAAGCCACTTTCAACTAAAATATTAATTTAAAAAGTTACACAGCACATTTCTGCTTCTCCCCTGGCCTTGGAGCTCTCCTTGGGCTGTGTAGACACCCACACTCTCCAGTTTGCTGCTGGCACTCCACAGGGCTGAATGACAGCATGCATGTCCAGGGGAGCAGGGAGCCTCCTCTTGGCATGTACAGGTGGGGAGCTGAGCTTAGAGCTCTCCTTGGACTGAGACCTTCAAGGATTGCTCCCCAAGGAGAGGGGAAAGCAGGAGCACCTTGGAGCAGTGGTGTTGGGATGCTGGTGAAAGCCAGACCGCGGTACACCTAAGTGCTTGCTCGTGCCACACAGCCTGGAACCGAGGCTCAGAATTAACACCATATAAATATATACATGCAAGCCTGAGTAGCCCATTGGCCTGATGGCCCCCAGTCGTTCTGTGGAGCAACACTATCCTCCCCCTGCACCAGTTGGAGGCTGGTGTGCTCACATGACTGGCAGCAAACTGCCCCACTGCGCTCTAGCTGCTTGCAAAGGCAAGGAAGCAATTCGTTCCAGGAAACTGACGGTGCCTGAACTGGAGCATGCTGGTGTTCTTCTGCCCAGCCAAGCTTGGCCTGGCCCTCCCACCTTCCCCTCCCTGGCAGGACAGACTCATGAAGAGCTTTGTAGATTTTGAGGAAGCATTAAGTCATTGCCACTCAATGGATGACTTGAGGAAATTGCAGAAAAATTAAAACTAGGATGGGCCCAAGGGAAGGCTGGATTAATAGAGAAGTGCCTGCTGCTCCTCAACTCCCTCCAGACAACCCATCTGACTGCCTGGCAGCACCACAAGGCCTGCTCCAGTTCTGGCTCTTCCCCTAGCCTCCCCATCCCTCACTTCTTCCTTTTCCGCCCCCGGGAATGTTCAAGGGGCTCTGACTCACTGTCCCCTTCCTGCTCCTCCAGTCCCTGGCACCTAGCAGAGAGCTTCTTGCGTTTCCTGCGTGCATATGTGTGGCCTGGCAGGTGTTTGTGCACCATGTCAATCAAACACTGCTCTGTCTTCTCCAGGCAGGACAGTACGTGACTCCCATTCTGGTTGTAGCGCTCAGCATTGGAGAACACCTGCTTCATGTCGGAGAGGAACTCCTGCACAGAGCGGTAACTGCCACAAGAGCACTTGCTCTGCATAGTCTGGAAGTCCATGGGGTTGCTGATGACCTCAAAGTAGTCTTCAGCTTCCTCTGTGGTCACTGGCTCCCTGCCAAAAGAAGGGCCACAGCAATAGAAAGGGAATGCTAACCCCGGCACCACTGCAGAGAAGTGGGGTCCTGCCACCTCTTTGCCCCTGTGGCACCCCTGACCTGCAGTCCCACGGTGATGCAACAAGCCCAAGCAATACCACTACAGTGTTACAGATACATCAGCCCTATGGCACGAGAATGGGAAGCACAGGAGCCCAGGAAGCTGGTTCAGGCATGAGGAGAAGGTCCATGAGGGAAGCTTCCCTCAGTCACAGCACCTCAGTGCTCCAAAAATCCTGGGGGCAGTAGAGAACACCTACCTCCTGCATTAGCCCCTTGCCTGCCACCTCAGAAGGGCACCATGTCTTCAGTCCAGCAGAAGACTGAGAACATGGTGGTTTCTTCTGGAGCAGCTTCTTCCCAGATATGTCTTGCTTTTGGAGCCCTAAGTTTCTCAAGTGGATCTGGCAGGACTGCACCACAGCCAGCCCACATCCCCACACAGCCTGTGGCCAGTCCTGCCCACAGAGGAGGAAGACGCCACTTGCTCTCACCTGAAGGGCCAGCTGAAGCGGTATTTGATCAGCTTGCTGAGGATTTCCTCACACTTCTGCAGCTCAAGGTTCTGGCGACGCGCTGTCCTCTTTGTCTGAAGGACCTGCCCACACAAAGGATGTTGGTAAAAGGAGGGAACTGCTACAGGCTTTGGAGTTCAGCTAACAGCCCTGAGGCCGAAGGAGCTAATTCTTAGCACAGCCAGGACACTTCTTCCCTCTCAACATGGCGAGGGGCTGGCACTGGCTCCCCAGAGAAGCTGCGGCTGCCCCATCCCTGCAAGTGTTCAATGACAGGTTGGAAAGGGCTTGGAGCAACCTGGTCTAATGGAAAGTGTCCCAGTGCATGGCAGAGGGGTTGGAATGCGATGCATTTAGGACCCCTTCCAAGCCAGGCCATTCTGTGATTATGACATGTGGCAGCCGCTTGGGTTCAGGACAGCAGCTTCATTCAGGAGCTTGGTGGGAACAGCTCACGAACTGCCCAGCTCTCCTCTAGTAGCAGGTGGCTTTTTCAAAATAAGTTCAAAGACAATATGGCCATAACAAGTAGCCAAAAAATAAATGCCAGCATATGAAGAATGTGAATTCCCTCTCCCTGCCTTCTCTTGAGCTTGTGGGAGGAAGAACCCGAGGCAGATGGAGAAGCACTTGTGCTGCTGTTCTGTCCTGGCAGAGCTGACTGTGCCATTTCAAATCCCAGGAGCAGCTGGTGCCCTGAGCACTGTCATCCCTGTGCAGGCTCAGCACAAGGCCACTCATGTGCCCAGGGACCCAGAACAGGTCACATCCAGCATGGGGACATCCCCATAGCTTCCAGAGCTCAGCTTGTGGTACATCACTGCTGAGGAAAACACTGAATGACAGGAAGGCTCCACAGCACAGGGTACTCGCTATTCTGACCCAGCTCTAGTCTCTTCCCAGGACAAGTGATAGATCATGACAAAGTCCTCTTCTCTGAGCCAGTGTGCTGTTCCAGTAAGATTTTCCCCACTGGAATATCCCTCTGTGCTGGCTGTGGCTGTCTATGCTGGGCTTGCTTGCCCTCCAGTGTATAACACAGACCACAAGCACAGTCCCCCAGACCTCGCATAAGCAGCAGTGAGTCGACAGTCGATGAGCAAGGAGAGTGACAGGACTCACCAGCACCACTAGTGCTGGTCACGGGACAGATGGCAGATCTGCAGGGCGTTGTGACGTGGCTGTGGGGCTGGAGTATCCTCATGTATCCTCTACAGCATGTGGCTCCCCAGAGACAGTCACTGCAGCTCCCCCCACCCAGCACGCACAGACTGTTCTGTGCAGGAGCCTATGGTTTTATTCTTTAAATATCAAATGAAACCTAAACCAGCCAAATTATGTCCTGGAAGTTGGGGAGTGATCATACAGACAACAACTGTCATAAAATGGCCAGGGCTAGGGAGCAAGGGTCTAGCATTGCTGGCATTCTCTGGCCATCCAGGACCCCCTCAGTTCCCCCACCTCTCTGCAGAGACATATGGATACTATTTAAAAACCTTTAACAAGCTGCAGGCTGCCTGCTGCTCCAGGGGACAATGTGTGAAAGCGGCTGGGGAGGGATGCCTGACATATCTGTGCTCTGTCTGCAGCAGGCCCTTAAGGATATGTTTCCTTTGTTAACCCAGCCCAACCCGGGCTTCAGGGTATTTTACTGTGAGGGGATGGGAGGAAGCCTGCCACCTGTTTGGTTTATAACTCACGATGTGAGTGGTCTCCAGGAAGAAATTTGGCTCTTACCAGCTCATCGATGTCTGCACCGTTGACAGGCGCCATGCGCTGCCGGGGTCCCCGCACAGAGTGCAATGTCTGCTTCTTCCTCTGGTGCCTTCCCTGCCTCGAGGAGTACATGGAGCCCTGCTTGCCCTGGGCTGCCTTCCTGGGCCTCACTGAAACAGATAAGCCATGGGCTTAGAGGCCGGAGTGCATCTGGGAGCAGACACCACCCTTTGCTTCCCACACTAGGCTGAGCCTCACTCAGGCTGGTGACCCCAGGGACCACCCAGCCTCATCTTAGCTACACTCTCACACCTTCTAGGGAGGGCATCTGTGGGTCATCACCACCTGCCTGAAGAGGCCATGGCTGGCAACAGCCTGGTGCTAAAAAGGTACTCACACACAGCAGATCCTCAAGCTCCAAGGGAAACCTGGGAGCTCCTGGATCATGCACTGCAGGTCACAGCAAACCTCTCTGCCTGCAGCACCAAGAGACCCCAACACATCAAGGCTTGAGGGAAAGACAGGAAAGCAATGCAAGGACAGACAGCTGTCTCAAAACTGCAACACACCCTCTGAAAGCACTGGGAGCAGAAATCGGGAGTTTCCTCAGTTGCCTACTGCCCCTTTGCTCCTCACAGTTTTGGGGATGGATGCTTTTCTAAGTGGCCCACATAGTGGGATAAGTCCCCTGAGAAGGGAACTGTGTGCAGAGGAGGTGTCAAATTACTGCAGCTGGGAGCTGCTCCATGTGCTGCAAGTGGGAAACAATGGGATTTTACTCCCCAAGACTTGGGGTTGCCACATTACCTCCTAGAGAAATGCACTTGCCTGTGTGAGTCTGCCTCTCAGAGCTCCCCACTGGTGGCAATGTAAGCATGTTGACGCACTCCCTTGTCTTATATTTCTCCCATGACCCTCTGTATGAGGAGAATGTGTTTGCCTTCCCAAGTCCAAGCCCTTCCACCTGATCCCAAGTCCTTGAGCTGTATCCAGCACACTGGATACCTCAGCTGCAGCCTCTGATCCAGCCCTGTCCCATAAATCATCATGCTGGGCATGTGGCAAGGCTGCAGGGCGTCCACCTGCTGTCACTCTCCTTGTGTGTCAAGTGTGCAGCACGTGCTAAATGTCTGACAATCCAACATTCTAGGTTAGATCCCTCAGGATAAACGCCATAAGGATCAATGTGATTTTTCTATTCAAACAAAAGTTTTCCATGGTGACCTTTCCATCTTAATGCTCTCTAAAGCCAGGGGTTGCATTTAGCACTTTATTTTTAGTGACCGTAACCCTCTTTTGCCATTGTTTGGAAAGCTTGGCTCAGCTCCTGCCTTGGCCATGCAACATAGGCTAAACACACTCCAAGTGTGGACATGGATACACCGCAGGACAACAAGCAGTGCGCACAGCCGTGGAATCAGCGAGCCTCCCTGAAACCAGAATAAAGTAAGGGAATCAAGACTCAGGCCTGGATGGAAACCCTCAAAAGAACATGGGATAATCCTCTGAGTCCCAGCC